TTTGAGAGCAGTAGCTCAACGATTGCGTTGGCTACTTGCATCACAACAACCCCCACGGTAGATTTGCCCACGCCAAAGTGGTTCGCGACTGACCGGTAGCTGTCTGGCGTTGCAAGCTTCCAGAAGGCTATGGCCACTCGCTTCTGGACAGTCAGGGCTGCTCGCATCCGGGTGTCCTTGCGCTTCAGGGCAGGGGACAGCAACTCACAAAGTTCCATGAAAGTCCCCTTCCGCATGCGAAAGTTTTGCAGCCACTGTGATTCATCCCAGACCTGCAGCACTATGCGGTCCCACCAGTCCGTGCTTGTTTCCCGGGCCCAGAATCGCCGTTCCACAACATCAACATGACCCATTGCCACCATGATGTCCTCGGCGCGGGGTCCCGTGCTTTTTGACAGGTCTGTGCCACTCTCAGACTTCAGGTCCTCACTGCGCTGCCGTAGCCTCCTCGCCCGATTTCTCAGCATCTGCCTCTGGGAAAGGTGGATGATAAGGTGCGAGGTGTTGACAACGGCCATAACTGCAGCGATGGTCGCAGCGGGCTCCATGCTCGCAGTGCTGTGGCGTCCGTGCTGTCACTGACCAGAAAAGTGCGCGAACTGATTTCCCGCCGGCGCTTTCAGGGAGGGAGGGCAGGAGTGACGGTTGGATGATGACAGTTACCCAAAAGCACCCTCGACACATTTTTTCCCCAGAAGGCATTGGGGGCTCGACCCAGAATTCCAATGGGCAGCGGGGACTGCGGGAACTGTGGGATAGCTGCCCACAGTGCACCGCTTCCAATGTCGACGCTTGCCCCGTTAGTGTGGACTCACAAAGTCGAATTACTGTCCTTAGTGTGGATACACACATTCGACTTTGTAATATCGATTCCACATATTCGATTTAAGTAAAATCAAACTACTCTCGTACTGTAGACATACCCTCAGAGAGATAATGGTGTAGAAAGTATCAGAGGGGTAGCCGTGTTAGTCTGAATATGTAAAAAGCAACAGAGGGTCCTGTGGCACCTTTAAGACTAACAGAAGTATTGGGAGCATAAGCTTTCGTGGGTAAGAACCTCACTTCTTCAGGTGCAAGTAATGGAAATTTCCAGAGGCAGGTATAAATCAGTATGGAGATAACGAGGTTAGTTCAATCAGGGAGGGTGAGGTGCTCTGCTAGCAGTTGAAGTGTGAACACCAAGGGAGGAGAGTGGCCTGTAGAATTTGGTACTGGAGAGTTGTCTGGCAGCCTCCTTCTGGTAGTCAGACCTGTTCATCCAATACCAAATTCTACAGGCCACTTTCCTCAGATCCCACTGAGGAATACACTAAGAAACTGCACCATCTACTCAGGACACTCCCTACACTAACACAGGAACAAATCAACATACCCTTAGAGCCCCGACCGGGGTTATTCTATCTACTACCCAAGATCCACAAACCTGGAAATCCTGGACGCCCCATCATCTCGGGCATTGGCACTCTCACTGAAGGACTGTCTGGATATGTGGACTTCCTACTCAGACCCTACGCCACCAGCACTCCCAGCTATCTCCGTGACACCATTGATTTCCTGAGAAAAGTACAATGCATTGGTGACCTCCCAGAAATCACCATCCTAGCCACCATGGATGTAGAGGCTCTCTACACAAACATCCCACACACAGATGGAATACAAGATGTCAGGAACAGTATCCCTGATGATGACACAGCACAACTTGTTGCTGAGCTGTGACTTTATCCTCACGCACAATTATTTCATTTGGTGACAATATATACCTCCAGACCAGTGGCACCGCTATGGGCACCCGCACGGCCCCACAATATGCCAACATTTTTATGGCTGGCCTGGAACAACGCTTCCTCAGCTTTCGTCCACTCACGCCCCTTCTCTACCTACACTACATTGATGACATCTTCATCATCTGGACCCATGGGAAGGAGACCCTGGAAGAATTCCACCATGATTTCAACAGCTTCCACCCCACCATCAACCTCAGCCTGGACCAATCTACACGGGAGGTCCACTTCCTAGACACCACAGTACAAATAAGCGATGGCCACGTTAACACCACCCTATACCGAAAACCCACCGACCGCTACGCCTACCTTCATGCCTCCAGCTTCCACCCCGGACACACCACACGATCCATCATCTACAGCCAAGCGCTGAGGTACAACCGCATCTGCTCCAACCCCTCAAACAGAGACCAACACCTACAAGATCTTCACCAAGCATTCTCAAAACTACGATACCCACATAAGGAAATAAAGAAACAAATCAACAGAGCCAGACGTGTACCCAGAAGCCTCCTGCTACAAGACAGGCCCAAAAAAGAAACCAACAGAACTCCACTGGCCATCACCTACTGTCCTCAGCTTAAACCTCTCCAACGCATCATCAGTGATCTACAACCCATCCTGGACAATGATCCCTCACTTTCACAGACCTTGGGAGGCAGGCCAGTCCTCGCCCACAGACAACCCGCCAATCTTAAGCATATTCTCACCAGCAACCACGCACCGCACCATAACAACTCTAACTCAGGAACCAACCCATGCAACAAACCTCGATGCCAACTCTGCCCACATATCTACACCAGCAAACACCATCACAGGACCTAACCAGATCAGCTACAACATCACCGGCTCATTCACTTGCACGTCCACCAATGTTATATATGCCATTATGTGCCAGCAATGCCCCTCTGCTATGTACATTGGCCAAACTGGACAGTCACTACGCAAGAGGATAAATGGACACAAATCAGATATCAGGAATGGCAATATACAAAAACCTGTAGGAGAACACTTCAACCTCCCTGGCCACACAATAGCAGATGTAAAGGTAGCCATCTTACAGCAAAAAAACTTCAGGACCAGACTCCAAAGAGAAACTGCTGAGCTCCAGTTCATTTGCAAATTTGACACCATCAGATCAGGATTAAACAAAGACTGTGAATGGCTATCCAACTACAGAAGCAGTTTCTCCTCCCTTGGTGTTCACACCTCAACTGCTAGCAGAGCACCTCACCCTCCCTGATTGAACTAACCTCGTTATCTCCATACTGATTTATACCTGCCTCTGGAAATTTCCATTACTTGCATCTGAAGAAGTGAGGTTCTTACCCACGAAAGCTTATGCTCCCAATACTTCTGTTAGTCTTAAAGGTGCCACAGGACCCTCTGTTGCTTTTTAATGGTGTAGAAAGTATATCTAACCCAGTGATGTGATGCTAATATTTCAACAAGGGATTCTAGCACACATTTCTTTCCATAACTATACGATAAACCCTGAGTTCCAGGGAAAAGGGGCTATTCACTTGTTTTTCCATTTGAGCACAAGCATTTTCTCAGAACTATAAATCAGGGAGGGAGATAACGCCATTTACTAAACAAACCCATTAAGCTGCACTTCACTAGAAATGCTTACATTTTGTTCCAGGAAGTGATGAGAACAGAGCGATAGTGCAATAATGAGTCCAGAGGAGTGTGTAGAAGGGACACAATTTTTCAGGAAGTTCTATGAGGGAAGTTGGGAAGAAGCATGCTCCTTAATGGGAAAACAATTTGAAAAAACCAGGCAATTGGTGCAATCTGGTCCATTTCAAAGGCAAAGGCATCACTATGTGTCCCATGGTAGAGATGATTTAAAAGTATCCAGAGGGAAGGCAAACTTTGTCAGAAGCAGGGAAACTATCACAGTCCTCCCTTCAATTTGGTATGCAGTTTTCAGCAGGGGCACTTTAGTGATACTTTCCCCCCTCACCCCACTTTCAACACATCATCGCTTTAACCTCTAAAACATCCTCTCTCTCAGATTGTCATTGACTTTTTTTAATTTTGTGGTGCACTGAACAAAAAGTGCAGGATCTCCTTTTCAGTATCACCCTATGTATAACCCCCCAACCAACTAACCCCTGAGTAAAATAAAGCCTTCTGCAATGTAGTGTACAAAACCCAAGCTTAATCCCTGTGAAAATTATGAAGTGAGAAAGTTGGCCTGGTTATCCTCCATAGGCAAAGTCAGCATGGTGCTACCACATTTCAAGGAATAACAGTGCATTAATCTACCAAAAACGCCACTCTTATGCAGCAGTAGCTTTATAAATGCAGGCCCTTGATATACAATAAATGTGTTCCTTTATCACACATTCATTTTCTGTTCTTTTATTCTTGTGCACAGTCTTGGTATATATACTATACAGTCTATACACTGGTGCACAACAGATATTACATACAGAACAGATTCATTTATTTCAGTAGTCAATCCTATTTCACAGTTTTTAGTGATGCATTTTGATTCCTTGAACACTCTCATTTCTTTATCAGATATTTGATTCCGAGGATGTTCACTGTGCATACATTTGCACTCAAGTAGATGTATAGTCTGTATGGAACAGGTTTATTCCAGCATCAGGAATTCATTTAAATGAGATTCACTGAATAGCAGAACAGGTGCAAAATATAGCCTGTTAACTTTGTTTGACACAACTGGTTGAGCTGGCGAGAGAACAATCAACCCAACAAGCTCCAATGGGAAAATCAGTGCAGTGCCCAGCTTTCATAAGTTTATGGGCATAAGAAGGTAAGAATATTTTAACCAAATGTATGGTATCTGTTATGAATAAAGAAACATTTAACTTTGTGAAATACTAAAAGCAAAAGACAAATTCCTCTTAGTTCTTGGGAGTTCCTAGCCAAGAAATGGCTCAAAATATTTCTGCATCATATTTTCATTCAACTGTATTCAAAGCTTGATAATTTTTATCAATATACTTTGTAGTTACACCTACTATAAAGACTAGGATGTTTGCTTGTGAGAGTGAAGAATTATTTTCCCGCACTGCAGTATTTGCCTAGAAAAATGTTGCCCTCCTGTCCTCTGAAGAACAGATATTGACCACTGATGAGAGCAAGATACTTGATGTACCAATGGCCTAATGCAATATGGAAAAGGCTATATTTCCAAATGTGCACTCCATTTTAGGGTCAGCAGTTAATGATCGTTCGTAATTATACCATGTTACTAGCCTCATACTCAACATAAATGACTTGAATCACATTTTTATAGGTAGTTGAAAGCTGGTGTGGAGGAAAGCAATTGTTATTGAATATTTGTAAAACACGTTACTAATGTATCACAAAGGCTCCGTGAGAACTGACCTGAGGATCCGAGAATACTTGCTGCATACTGTTGATTGGACCATATGGAACACCACTACCTTCAAAGAGTTCAAGCCATTTGGTGGTCATTTTTTCTGAAAACCTAGGAACAAACAAGGAGCATGTGGTTTAAACTCTCTGTTTCAGATTCCAAAGAATGCAGAGCACCCCCACCCCTCCTCACTGATTTCTTCCCAGGCAGTCAATAATACAACAAAAATGTGCTGCATGTGTTCTTTGGAAATGCAAAGACTAAGCCTTAGGGCAAAGATCATGGTTAGACTGACTTATAATTCTATCTGATTGTCTGATGCAATCCAGCAACGATGCAAACCAAAATTATCAACATTTCCAAATATGGATCAATGGGTTTCCTTGAGTCCTTAATTACAGTAATGTGCTTCACATTTTATATATTTATTTAACAACAAAAGAATAGACATGATGTGGGTAAGAGTCTAATCTACGAAAGTGTCTTATTTTTGATCATAAAGATCACTGATTTAAAGCAGTACAATGTTGTTCCTCCATTACATTTGAAACATATGTCAGACTTAACAAAACACAATTGTTGGTCAGATAACAACATCAACTACATATTTATTTGCTGTACGATTATATAATCTGTCCTCAGGACATCCGGTTGAGCATGTGTGTGCTCTGCTTATCCTGTGTAATCCAAAATTCCCAAGTCTTTTTATACCATTTGTAAAGCTTAGCTCATTTCCTTGAAAGCATTCAATTTTCAGAGAGTCGGAAGTCCTTCTCTCTACCGTATTTCCCTCCTGAGATACTTGCATCCTATTTCCATAAGTGCAATTCTATTTCTTGTCTGCGAGGCAGAGTTACCGGTGTCCTGACAGTACAAACGGTCCTGAAGCAAAGGCAGTAACTAGCAAGTATAAGATGATATTTTCTATTGGTTTCTGGATTTCTGAAGCAGAAATGAACTGACATGGATTCCACCTCCTAAATTTCCTGAAGATACATAACATGATTGTCTGCCAAGATACTGGCCAGGTTTAAAACCATTGAGGGGAGGCAATTGGCATACTAGATTCAAACACATGAAGGAACTGACATGTAGTATATTTCCTGTTAAGTTTTCCTGCATAACTGGCATTCTCTATTTCATCATTTCCAAGTTCCTGAAGTCTAATAATCAACAACATTAATAACACTAAATTTTAGTTCAAGAATGCACTGTTCCCAAACATCTCTGGATGTCTAATAAAAATGTTAAAACAAATATTTAACACAAAGGCTATAGAGACAAAACTATATCAGAGTCAAAGAGACCCTATGGATAACTTGTACACATTACTTGTATTTTCATGTATAGTCTGTAACTGGCTGCAAAGTATTTTGTGATACTTTGGAATGAAAATGCTAGGGAGATAAGCTATGCTGCAATGTTCTGTATTGCATATTGGAAATGTGCCTATCCTAGCTTCACTTACATTTCTCTTTTCTGTACAGAAGGGGTTTTACCCAATTTTCATGAAGTAAATTTAATTTATGCTACAGGCAGCGATAATTATCCAACATTAAGGTGAAATTCACCCTGGTGCACAAGGCATTTGCATTTCAAAGCAGTGAGACAAAAGGTGTACCATAACTAGAGTTCTTCAAGATGTTTTGTTCCGATGGGTACTTCATGCCAGGATCTGCATGTGCCCATTCTCATTTAATGGGAGATGCTGTCAACAGTGTCCACACCTGCACCCTACACATCATCTTCATGTTCTGGTACAAGAGTATATAGGGAGGGATGGACCCACCACCACTCCAGTTCCTTCTCAACCGTGAAGCCTTCTTGGGAAATCTAGGTATCTTTCTGGGAAGTTCGGTGAACATGGTTTGATAAATGGGCAGGACCATTGAGCTGTTTGAGACTTGCTGTAGTTCCTTTTTGTCACAGGTGTGTAGACGCCAAGGCATTGAGCAAGTCTTTGGTGGGAGTAGAGGGACCCATCGAGGAACCACTGAAGAGCTTCAGGCCTTCAAAGGGAAAGTCCTCCATAGTTGTTTTGTATTTCCCAGGGAAGGCTGGAGGATTGCAGCCAAGATACTCAATGCATGGACTATGGTGGTAGCCACAGAGGGCAAAGCTGTGACAGCGATGCTAAGTGAGGCCTGAAGGGAAGCCTTGACAATCGTCTGGCCTTCTGTGATAAGATCCTGAAACTGCTCCCTCTGGTTTTGTGGCAGATGTTCAGCAAAATGAGAAAATGTGAAATAATTTGTAAAGTCATATTTTCCCATTGAGGACTAATAGCTGGCCACCATGAATTGCAGAGCAGACAAAAAGTAGTTTTTGCTGCCAAGAAAGTCTATGCATTTAAGTTGCTTGTGAGAAGGGGGTGATCAAGACCAATACTGTCTAGTTGTTACATTAATTGCATCGATGACCAAAGGGTTAGAGGCAGGATGGGAGAAAGGATACTCTGAACCCTAGAAAGAATATAGTATTTTTTTATCAGTCTGCTTACAAGTGAGTGGTAGGGTCGCTGGTGTTTGCCACACCAAAGGGGCTGGTGCTAACAGACATGGAAGGGCACGGCAATCTTCTCCTGGGGGAAAGTCTGTAAAATGTTCAGCAAATAATGTTGATCTTCTCCAACAGGATCTGTAAGGATTTGAGGTCTTGAAACATCTTGAAATCATCCCAAAGGATGGCGGGGTGTGTGGGCAGGCATAACAGCCTCATCCAGTGAGGAACAGGATTTGTACAATAGTGGTGTCTCCTCCTCTGCGCCTAGCTCCTGCTGTTCTGGAGGTTCTTCCTGTGGAAGGTGGCCCGCTGACAGTGGCTGTTGTTCTTGATCGGACCTCTTGCATGAGAGCACACTATATAACTGTTCTCATAGAGGTCCCACGGGTTCCAAAAAGCCCACTGGACTGGATTATAAGGAACAGGGCTGGACCCCGGAGAGCCCTTGCCAGGGTTGGTGGGCCAGTAATCCGCTGGTGGTCTCTTCCTCAAGACACATCTCAAGGGAAGAAGGCTAGAAGAGAAAGATGGTGGAAACCTGTATGGACACATCTGAGTCAGAGGAAGTATCCTCACCTGCGTCCAGTGGAGGAGCAAGAGGCATCAGTACAAGGGGTCACGTCACTACTGGAAGCCAGGGAGGGACCAATAACTGCACAGTTTCCAGTGGTCAAGTCTTTGTAGAAGGATGCAATAGGACCAGAAGGTAAATCAGCTCCAGAGAGTAAGTTGGTACTGGTGGGAAATCCCTCTTGGTACCCCTCAAGAAGGGATTCATGCTCTTCCAGATTTGGAAGTCCTCCTGAGACACGAACCTGGATGGGAGTGGGGAATCTGGATACTGTTGCGAGGTACTGGGGATAGTAACAAAGGACAGTCCATATGCTCTTTACTGTGATCTGAGAAGGACGATACTGAAGACAATTACTTTAAGACTTTGGACTTGGAGGAATCCTTGTGTTTAAAAGGCTCCAGTTCTGGTACTGATGCCAGTGCTGCATGAGGTTGCTTGCCAGGAGGCATCTCAGCGTCTTGCACATTGGGATCTTTTCTGGTGGTACTGTGAACTCAGTTCCAGAGGAGGTAGAAGCCTCAGTGATATCCATACCAGGATGTGAGGACTCCTTGTTTCTGATCAGGAGAGTGACTTTCTTCTCTTGTCTCTGTTTCTGGAGAATGAGGTCTCTTCTTTTAGATGGTCTCAAAGAATATGAGGGCCCACAGGATCTTTGCTTAACGGAGCTGGGGCTAGTGCAATCGCCAGTGCATTCTGAACAGTGGAGGCTTGAGAATGAGGGACCCAGGCTCCACGGGTCTCAGAGAATGCTCCATCAGAAGCAGTTTCAGTCTGTCCCCTCTCAGCTTTCTGGATCTGCTTTTGAATTCACTTGCACTTAGAGAGGACATGGGTCTCTCCAAGACAGCCAAGGCAGTTAGAATGCCTCTTGCTGAAGGGGAAGGATCTGTGGCAGGTCTGGCAGGGTATGAATTGCAGGATCTTGGACATAACCTGACAAGAAAAGCTGGAGATGGAGAGGGCTGAATGAAATGTAGGCCCAAACAAACAAAAAAGGATGGGGGGAGCACAAAGTTGTGCTGAATTCAATAGAAAAATAACAGTAAAATGAAACTATAGCAAAGAAATCAAAAACAAGAAAATAAGAAAGAAAAGTCAACAAGCTGTGTAGCTAGCTAGCAGACACAATGACCGTCTGTCTCAAGCCGCAGGCAGCTGAGAAGGAACTGGAGCGGCAGCAACTCTACCCCTCCCTTCATAGCCTTATACCAGAACACGAGGATGTGTAGACAGCAGACCCACGGATTCGACTGACAAAATCTCCGATCCAGAGTGCACAAGTGCGCGCACATCCTCACATAGAGCACCTATGGGGACAATCACTTGAAGAAGAATGCTAGTGCATAGGCCTTATGTTGGCCTTCTGCAGAGGAGGAAATTTTACTAGTAGTGAATACGTTTAACAAAATCATAATGGTAGAAATGGAGAAGTAGAAATACAGAAAACCCTTGGGGCTGCCAACTGATGTGCCAAGACTACTTCTACCCCTGCTTTCCCAGCCAGCTCGGGACTCCAGCACCCTGTCTTGTTGAGACAGACACAGACCCAGGGTCTGAACCACGTGCCCCAAAGCTGCAGACTTAACTAAAAGCTTCAGTGCCCTGCATGGTTTGAGTCAGACCCGCTAGCCTGCTGCAAACCCAGACCCATGTCTGAACCGCATCCCCTAACAGCTGTAGGCTTAATTGAAAGCAGGTTAAGAAGTGTTCCTGTCTATAACACTCAGAAGCCCAACTCCCAATGGGGTCCAAACCCCAAATAAATCTGTTTTACCCTGTATAAAGTTTATACGGGGTAAACTCATAAATTGTTCGCCCTCTATAACACTGATAGAGGGATATACACAGCTGTTTGCCCTCCCACCCCCAGGTATTAATACATACTCTGGGTTAATTAATTAAGTAAAAAGTGATTTTATTAAATACAGAAAGTAGGATTTAAGTGGTTCCAAGTAGTAACAGACAGAACAAAGTGAATTATCAAGCAAAATAAAATAGAACACCCAAGTCTAAGCCTAGTACAGTAATAAAA